AACGTTAAGTCCAGCACAGAGATACCAAGGTTGGTGCAGTCATCAGGATTCAAGGGAAGAAAAGAGCAGCTTTCAGAGAAGTTTGAGGGACTTTACTGGCACTGTAACAAACCTGGGCACAAGAGAGCTCAATGCTGGCAACTTCAACACAGGAAAGATGCCACAGCAGGAAAGGCTGCTTCCCAGAAAGGTTGTTGGAACTGTGGAGAGCAAGGAGATATGAGGAGCCATATAAGAAGAATATTACCAATAAGTCAGCTTCGGAAAACCAGTAGTGGTTGGTGCTGAGGGACGCCCACCAACCCCCATCGTGAAAGTCCCAACAGCTAAGTGTAAAATGGCAAGCACACATAGTGTCTACGTGACAGGGAAGCTGGAGGGCCAAAGGTGCGACTATGTCATAGATTCTGCATCTCAGCAAACCCTTCTGAGTATCAAGGTGCTGGTTCGCAAAGGAGTACCAGAAGCTGTACAGAAGCTCTGTGGTGTGATAGGACATTATGCAAAGTTGTGGGGACCAGTGTGGATAACTATGGAGCTCATGGGCGTGAAGGACAGACACAAAGTATACTTGGCTGACATTGAAGACCAATGCATACTAGGATTGGACTACTTACTACCAAGGAAGTGTGTAGTTAACTTCAATAAAATGACGATTGGAAACAACAAAGGCCAAATTCTGGTAAGTGTTGCTGCTCTGTTGATTTGCATGTCACGCACTTAAGTCAACTACAATACCCCCTATGTCAGAGAAGATAATTTGGGGTAGAATAAAAGAACATACCCAAGGAAGCCCGATGCTTGTGGAAGTAGTGGAAAACACATCTAGGCCAGTGGATGTGAAGATTGGAAGGTCACTTGTGGCAGGTCATCAAATAGTACCCATAACAGTGCCTAACTTCTCTAAATGTGAGCAGACACTTAAGGAAGGGGCATTGTTGGGTGTGTGCCAGGAGGTAGAACCAGTCAATGTTAAGGCAAGAAATACAACTATAAAGAAGGAACATACACTTCCAGAACATTTTACAGACCTCTATAAGAAGAGCATGGTCCATTTGTCATCATCACAGGTAAAAGAGCTTTTGGCGAATTATGCAGACGTCTTTTCGAAAGGAGATCATGACCTCGGCTGCACAGACCTTGTGGAGCACAGAATAAACACAGGCAATCACCATCTAATAGAGATTAAGAAACGAGATGTACGCTTTTGTATATATAAGACCTGTAAGAAGTGACGGCAACAATGGAATTGAATTGCAGACAGAGATAGAGACGGACAATTGAGTCAAGCGCGTGAATCGTTCGTTGTGGATTATAGCGTTTGTTTAAGTTATAGTGTGACTGTGGAAATTAAGTGTATTGCAAAGTTGAATTAAAAAAGAATAAACTAGTTTTATTTAAGAAAGGACTTGTATCGCTAAAGTTTCTTCGGAAAGAATTTTTACGGAAAATTAACAAACGAACACAGAGGTGTAACAGTACCATGTCTTCGACTCACAACGTGAGGATCTTTGGAATCCGCCAAATACAGTTTTCTGAATTCGGGAAAACATCACTAGTACTTTCACAAAAGTGAAGGTGTTTAGTATTATACATATTTGTTTATGTTCGTTATCATGATTTTATTCTGTAGCTACAAAGCTCTAAGGTCATTTGGAACAAGCCTAAATGACTCTTACTTGGTTGAGAGTTACCAATATGGCTGGCGTGCTAATAGTAATTTTTATTCCAAAATGTCCCTACCCCAAAGGTTGTCAGCGATAAGCTTATGAACTTACAACGTTAAAATCTGGGATTTGATTCCTTGCGATGGACAGAATGTATATACAGTGGCGTCGGAACTTTGGGCACTACAGCGCCCCTACTTTTACATATTCGATTTATATAGCAACTGTAAGTTGTATTATTATATTAATTTTGTGAGAGGCTTGCCCCTAGACCACTTAGTTTGAACTGTCTTTAGCAGTACCGAAGCTGCCAAAGACAGCTCCTTATACTTTCATTCTTTCATTGTGAAATCTACATGTCTAGCCAAATACTCCCACTTTGCAACTCCTTCCTACAACAGTGTTATACTTCATTGTATAGCTTTGCGAAAAACGAAAACAAGCATTCGATTATTCATATGATAAATTTCCTATAGAATATAAATTTGGTGGTAGTGAAGTGTTATTTGGAAACTAAGGACAGAAATAGATGGTAATTAATAAAATTAAACTGATGAAATATAATACTCGTCACTACACATTTCAATCTTTGACACAGTATAACGTGTTTTTTTTTTTTGAATCAGAAAAACTTCCCTCTAGTGTCTTTTAAGATGAGGTGTGGCTCAGTAACGGATGTTTGAAGTAATTATTACTATTACGAGTTTTAAAGTTATCCTAAATTTATATTAAAATTAGGTAAGGAAAGAAAGTAATATTAATACTCTAGATATCTTAAGATTTGTTTATTTCATAGAACTTCAAAATTTACAAGATGTAGAGAGATATCAGAATATCACTAGAAAGTAACACTTAAAGATGTTTCATAAAATTAAAAGTCAAATAATAGAATTTTAGGGTATTTTTATATTATAAACTATACTTCGTCTATAGTATAGATATATTTATAACATCCACAGTACGCAATTCAATAAGGCAATTAACTCACTGTTGAGTTAGGCCTGAAATTGAAATATAACTCGTACTGCTGTATACAGTTGTGGTCTCCTTATTTAAGAAAATATATTAAGTTTGGAAAGGGGTTTAGAATTAGATGAAACTGACTGAGACTGAAACTGAAATTCAAGGGATGTGTGGTGCATCTTATATTTATAATGATTGGTTAAGTTCTCAACTTATTTCCTGAAGAGGAAAGGAGTAAGACTAAGAGGTGATCTTAGTTTTATGGTACGGAAATTTATCAGATTATTTAGGGGAATGCTAGTGATATTGAGATAAGATAAAGCCTATATTGCTGGGTTATAACATATTTAGTTATACTGAAGCAGTGAAAGTCTGTCTCATTTTGGTTATGGTCTTGCTCTTAGAAGTTGGTTTTGGACCCTTTTCCAGTCCTTTTTTTTTTGCTATGATCTTATTGCTTTTTAAAATTTTTTCAGTGGATCAGGAAGACATTCATTTTCTCTTGAAATTAAATTAAATTTCAGTTTAATTTTACTTAAGACATGAAAAAAATAGACTGGAACACTTGGTAGTAGTACCAAAAGTTGGTTTAGGTTCAGTTTTTATACATGGTGCACATTTTTTACACTGATATATGTACTGATTGAATTGTATTTTTGGATATGAATGTTTAGGTTTTCCAATAATGTCAGTTTTAAAAGTAAATTAAAATTAACATGTGTAACTCAGAGTTGTACAATTTATAATATTGATAATTAATTTGATAATTGCTTTATTTAAATGTTAAGTATTTGATTTAAATAATGGTTTTATAATGCTGCTGTCTAATATCTATCTGGTCATTTACCAAAGGTATGAAACTGACTAAATTTTGGCGGTATTCTAAATACTTTAATACATTCACTTTGATCCTTCTCAACTTTGAAAAGGCATTGTTCTTATCCTGTTTTACAGAGAAATGTGACATGAATTGTTTTGTTGTTGTTTTTTCAGTATACTTAAAAATTGGTTCTAGTTCAGAATGGTTTTCAATTCATGTTCTTGTTTTTATTCAATCATGGAAAAAAATATTCTTTTTTACCACCTATAAAAACTGTTTAAAAGAAACATGTCTGTAGCAAAAGAAAACAGATTGAAACCAGGACTGAAAGATCAACTTTTAGGTGCAAGATCTGAACTGAGAACTAGGACCAAGTTCAACTATTAGTATTAAACATCATTATATAATTAGATTTGATGTTTTGCTGAATATGGAGATCAAGAGTAATGAGATTTTGGTTAAAAGACAAAAAAAAAGCAAATTTTGAAGGGATGCAACAAGAATTATTAGTTATGAATTGGGCAACAAAATTAATTTGTGATAGTGATAAAAAAAAGTGGCTGCAAGTAAAAAACTAGGCTTGCTCACAAAGAATATGAGGAATAAAATTGAAGAAAACCATTCGAAGTTTAAGAACTTTAGATTGATTGCCCAGATCAAACAAGATGACTACATTAATTCTGAGCTAGTTAAGAAAAAATTGGGAAGTTTAAAAAATGATAAGGCTCCTGGGCCAGATAATATCCCTTTCGATATGGTTATCTCGTTTGTTGACTCGCATTCAAAATTTTATTTAACTACTATGTCAATAAGTTTGGTATCAAACTATAGATTATAATTCAAATTTTAGAACTATACATTACTTAATTTCGTGATTTAATAGAAAATATAAAATAAACACAGATAAACATCACTTTTTTGTATGTCACATGGTATGTTGAATGCAGCACTGGTTCAAATTAGGTGTTTTTGAAGTCAAAATACTAAGTGTATAGTTTCATACGAATTAGAAACTCGAATTACAGATATTGACAAGCTAGAATATAAAATAAGAAAGTCTTATAGTGGCACCCCGTCCACCTCTTTCCATTTTTGCAAACACTCCCTTATACACACTTACTTCCATGTATGATATGAATAACAATGTCCCCCTAGTGGTTTTCTCAACCTTTCTAACGTTCCTTCTGCCATTTCTTTCTTTTGAATGAATATATCAATGAGGTAGGTTGTGTCTTCAATCTGCTCGAAATTTCATATTTTTTTAGACCCAAAAAAGCTTAGTTACTAAGCTTGATAAATTATAGTAGAATTCTATGGTATTGATGTAGTAATTTATGATTTTTTAGTTCTTCAATTGTATATATAAAACCTAAAAAAATATTTTGTTTCATATCCTAAATGTGCAAAATTTTAAAAGGATTAGCAAATTACGTCAAGCAGCAACTGAGTACAAAGGTTGTAACTAGAAGAGATAATTGTTTGCTTTACTTCTTTATTTACTGTTCTATGTTTTAAAAAAGATAACTTTAAGAACTTATTTCTTAATAGCAATAATTTATATACATATAATGTATAATAATTGAAATGTGACTAAAACACAGCCAAGACAAGTTACTTTGTACAAACCAAAGGTCACCTTTACGTTATTTGATACGGTAACATAAGAGCACGTGAGCCACGTCATTGTAACTTCTATATCGTTAGCCAGCCATGAGTGAAAGGTCAATATAATAAAAATATATAAATGTATAATGTTATGAGATTTAAGCTATTTCATCTATACATTTATGTTTTTGTGTTATAATTTGTGTTCATTCTGGAATGAAAGAGGCATAATTTTTATTTCCTGATATTGTATGGTGGTTGCGAGATCAGTCAAATCTACCAAACCCGTGCATAGATTAATTACTGAAAATAACAGATAAAATATTAAGTTTTTTCTTAAGAAATGTTTGATAACTATCTGGACATTATAAAGATTTCACATGTGAAGTTTAAAAATTTCTGATGCATAAAAGAATTTTTAATCTTAAAATGAAAATTACTTTGCATGATAGATAGGCAAGATGTGAAAAAAAGGCATGAAAGAAACATTGCTTTACAAACCTTAAGACTTAATAAAAAAATCAGATATTTTGCATATGAAAGCATTGTAATTTTTACTGATAATCTGCCAAATTTTGTCAACATTCGCTTATTAATTTAAAAGTTATAGCATGGAAACTATAACAAGCACAAAATGGTTATGAGATCGGTCCAATGGACCGAGCTTGGGGTGAAAGAGATATTTCCCCAAGGGTTTTGAAGGAGGTTAAAGATTGGATATGTGAGCCACTTGCTATTATTGTTTGTCAGTTTTTGAATAGTGGGCAGGTACCAGGGGATTGGAAGTTAGTTAACGTAATTCCTCTTTTCAAGGGAGGTGATTAGGTTAGGTTAGATAATTTCCAGTAATTATAGACCCACTAGTCTTACATCAGTTGTGGGAAAAATTTTGGAAAGCCTGTTAAAAAATGCTTTGCAAAGTCATTTTATTGGATAGTCAAC